TATATATATATATATACACACATACACAATAGTAATAAAATGCTTTTATTGAAAAAAAGTAAGTAACACAAAATCCGGACCAACCTGGAATACCTTGAGCACATAATTTTTATAAGAATATTGGATAGAGCCCTGGCCAGTGCACCTCAGTTGGTCAGGCATCTTCCCATGCACTACGAGGCCACTGGTTCAATTCCTGGTCAGGGAAGTTTCCAGGGTTGCGGGGGCATGCAGGAGACAGCCAATCATCGATGTTTCTCCCTCTTCCCTCCTTTCTCTTTAAAAAAATTAATTTTATTGGGTAATAAAATCCATTTTGTGTCAATGTACAACTATAATCATATTAATTTAGAGTGCCTATTATGTACCTACATTCTACATACTTGACTTCATATAATATTTATAACAAATCTATGAAATTTGTTGCTTTTTAAAAAACTTCATTTAATCGATAAGAATACAGAGGCTCAAATAGAGTCATTTATCCAAAGGAATATAGCTATTTAAGCTAAATCCAGCTCTCAAATACAATATTATCTCATGTAGAAAAAAAATCCTTTATTTTATATATGTCATACTGTGTGGTTTCTCCTCTAAGCCTAACTTTCCTTTGGATAATTGAAGAACAGAATTATTGAGATGTGGAGACTCTCACTAAAGTGCTGCTCCCTCATCTCCTCTGCTTGTGACCATTGCTTTGTTCTGGAGAAACTTTGTTAGATGCCACTAACACTGAATGGAAAGAAGAGAGATGAAATGGAGTGAGGCAAGAAAAATGAGCTGACTTCACCAAAGACAGAGTTGTTAAGGGGAAAGAGACAGTTGCTTGGTGCTGAAGGGAACTCACGCTGGCCTGGCGGGTCACAGCACTGCTGTTGTGCAAGCGTGTGGCAGGTACCTCTGCTTATTTGTGCATTCCACACCCAGCAGGTCTTAGAACTCCTAGGATTTGGCCAGTGCTGCTGTGTTCCAAGGCACCTGAAAGAACATGTGCTCCACTTCAAATTGATTATTGCTGGGACTGAGCTCTTGGCATGATTTAGAAATGATGGCTGAATGAAACAAACTGCTCATTTATAAAAACAGTATTTTTATGTAGACAGAATAGTAAATAGTAACTCTATATGAACCTGGAAGACCCTGCCCTTTAACTTCTGGACTCTCAAATATTTGTACTACTGGGCAAAAGATGATCCATACTCTATTCCTAAGAATTCAGGGAGTAGCTTTAAGCACCCAGAACAGAGGTTGGCAACTCATGGTTCTTTGACCAAATTTAGTCACAGATGTATTTTGTGTGGCTCTGAGAGTTTTAGCTCTTACAGTGACTGGGATTTCAAGCTTTGGACAAATACTGAAATCAAGCCACAATGGCCTTTCATTTCTTCAGGCAGTGACTTTGAGTAGATAGCGGTCCCCTCTTCTGTCGCAGCCTACGCTTTCCACTTTCCACTTGGCTGAATGCTTGGCCCTTCCCTGAGATTTTGAAGCTCCATTTGTTTTTATCGTTGCACATCTACTGAGAATTCCCTTCTAGGAGAGTGGGAGCCTCCTGGCTCCTGTACAGGTCTGAGCTAGAGACCCCTATAGGTATCTCATAATCTCATAAATAGAAAGTGGACCCTCACATTGCTAGTAATTATAGCAGTTAACAGGAAAAATAATCTCTTGTAGCTTTTTTATTTTTCCTAAAGAAATGTTTCAAATTATACTTAAAAATTACTCATTAGTTCTATATTGTTATTTTTTCCCTTTTCAGTAAAAACAAATTTTTTAAAAAGTCAATTCAGTGGACACAAGCACATTGGAATCCCAACCTGTGAACATCTTGTGTATTTTCACTCATCTGGGCTCTGAGTATACTTTTAAATAGCTTAGTCCAAAACAAAGCCAGTAAAAAGGCCTAAAGAAAAGTAAAAATGTACTGATGAACAATCGATTGCATTGATTCATCACTACCCATTTGATTCAAGAATACTTAAATAAACAAAACAAAACAGCAGAAGCAGGCCATTTATGCGGGTCACTCTGAGAGTGGAATTTTGGTTGGGTAATGGAATTTGGGTGGTAAGTATGGCTGGCAGACCAATAGAACATTGTTTGATTTCTGAAATAGATTTTTCAGGCTTCTTATTGGCTACTGAGTAATTCCTATACAGGTTAGACTTTACTGTGCCCCAGTGAGTTATCTCTTCATGAAGCAATGCAGTCATTCAGCATTTATCACCCCTCACCTCTCAATACATATAGTTTCAGTATATGTGCACTAATAGATCCATGGTGGGTGTGGGTTTCACTTTATGAAATGTAATGACTCATGTAATGGGTTTGATATTTACAAAGAAATATTGGGTCTGGTGATAGCTTTTATGGGGCTGTCTGAATATGAATGAGTCAATAAAAAACTATTTTGCAGTATAACCCAACAATAAATATTGGTAAATGTTGGTATTAATGCTAATAAGTATTAGTATAATGATATTAGTGGACTTTATTTTGCATGGAAAAGAAAATCCATTCATAAGAAGGGCATAATTTCTTTCTCTCCTCCACCCTGAGAAATAGACATTTGAGGAGATTGAGTGTCTAAGAGTTTGGGACTTCGTGGCACATAACTAGGAAACAGGGAATCTGGGATACAGCTCAGGAATTCTGACCCATCTGAGGGTCCTTGCATGACATCTTGCTGCATATGCATTAGGGAACAATAAACTCTTTGGGCTGTTGAGAAGAAAAGAGATATGTGTACCCCAAGATATGACTTGAGTTGTTGTTTTCTATACTTGTTTTTAGGTATAGAATATAAAGGCACACAAAGTGCCATTATTGCTTTTACTTCATCAGTATTGGGGGGATCTGCAAATTCGTTTGGACAGAACTTTCAGTTGAGTGGAGCTTTTCTCTGTTTTTATTAGGAGTGAGAATGAGAGCTTCTCTGATAACATGGAGAACAGCTGCTCACTTCTGGGAAATAACCACAGCCCACACTCACGCCTGATAAGAAATTACCAGAGTAGTAACTTACTTTGAGCAAAAGTGTCATAAGGTAGTGACAAGGCTAAGAGCAAGAAGTGTGTGAGATGCATGCGTTTGAAACAAATTGACCCCAGCTTTAAAATCCAAGGACGGATATATGTTGGTATCAGTAAGTGAAGAGAGAGAGAGAGTTTGAGAGATGTATGCTGTGAGCAGAAAAGAAAGAGAGTGATAAATTAAACACATAAGGCAAGTGGAGGAAATGATCAAAATAACCACCAAACAACAGTAAAGTCTAAATCTAACTTTTTTTCCCCTTCCGGTGATGTGTTGACATTGTTGAAAAACCTCACATCAGTACTTTATAAAACTGTAGATCTCTTGGGTTGGGCAATAAAGAATCCTGGTAAAGGGCCTTCCAAAGAGCAGTGCTGTTGTGTGGGTGAGGAATGCAGGATGTCAGGAAAGGAAAGGAAGCTAAGGGTCCATGATGTAAGCAAGTGATGAGAGCCTGGTAAGGTAAACGTGAGCATGTAATATTTCCACGCTACTCGTTCTTCATGTGCAAAACTGAAGTAATTCAAGGCACCATTTTGAGGAATAAGGAGATCACTACCAAAATGCCTCAAAAATAGTGAGGGTTAAATGAACTGTAGCTATTATTCGTTCCACACATGCTTCCCTAACCAAGAGCATGGTTTAAATAAGGGAAATGATGACAGAATACCATACAGGAGTAAAAAGATCTCCAAGTCTGGCAGGAAGGAATGAAGTGAAATCTGCCCAGCATGGCTTAGCTGGGATGCCTAGAGCAAAACCAGGCCTGTTTTCTTCCAAAGCGCCTGCTACTCCCATTCTGCTTCTACAAAATGAGATGATCTGTAAGCCATTGAAAGGTGATAACCTTTGCTTTCAAGTTTCAGAGTTAAGCCTTAGTTCCTCTGTTCCAGTAGTTTAAATACACCCATCCCTCCTTCTCTTCCTGTGCTGGTCAGAGGCATGGGGTAGGCATCCTACAGAGCCCAGCGCAGGCCCCCTCTTGTGCCCCCCCCCCCCCCCCCCATGAACCCAGGACCAGGACTGCTTTTCCATTTCCCCATCACTGCTGCAGCCCGCATCCTGCCATCACCTGAGCTTAACTGAACCTCTTTTGGTGAGGAAAGGCATCATACAGTGTGTAGTAAAATTACTGTTTCAAAGCCAAGGCAGGAAACACAGTGAGAGAAGATGTTGGGCTTGCTGCAAAGGAATCATTTTATTTTTCTTGATCAAAGTATAAGAATGATATGTGGGAGGAGAAAATATTCCAGTAAATATGGTATAGCGATGAGAGTCTGTAATATGAGCCTGGTGTTTCAAAGGAAAGTTCTTACATTTGTGGCCCCTGGGCAGAAATTTAACCCATCTTTACCCCACATTTCTCCCTCCCAGACTTGGCTGGAATCCCAGACAGAGGGCGGGTTTTTTTGTTTTATTTTTTAACCCCTCCTCTGCCTTTCTCTTGTGGCTAGTGCTGCTGTCAGGCTAGCTTCTCCGCCCAGTCTCTGTCCTGGTGCAGGACTCTAGGAAGCTAGCTAGCTCTAGTCTAGGCAATAGCTAGGTAAGGAGCAAGTGTGCCTTCCAACCTTTGAACAGCCAGTGTCAATACCAGACAGCTAGTTTCCTGGATAGCGCCTGGCTCCGTTTACTTAGCCTAAGAGTGTGAATTAAGGCCCGGGTGTTAATGACTATAGGCACTCAAGTCCCTGAGCTGCGTGTGCAGTCACACAGTAGAGCTGGGATCCCAGGGCAGAGACTTGCAAGAGCTGCAAATGTGGTCAGTGGAAATGAACTCTCAATTGAGCTCCGCAGCACGTGACTTCCTATTTCTGTAAGGTACTTCCAAGGGACTTCCTCTGTAAAATCAGCCCGAGTCCCCGGAGATTTCATTCAGTGCCGCAGCTAAGTTTTTACTTCCAACTCGGGACAGAAGTTTTCCCTGAGACTTCAGTTTCTTTTCTTTCTCCTCGCCCTGCCTCTGCCAGCTTGCAAGGATCTGGTGGCTCCTGTCCGCGATCGGAAGCTGAATACCCTGGTGCAGATCTCTGTAATCCACCCCTCGGAGCAGGGACTGACAAGATACTCCAGCACGGAAATTGTGGAGGTGAGCATGCTGTGCGCCTGCATTCCTCGCCTGCATTCCTCTCTCTGTGTGTGTCTCCCTCTCTCAGTCTCTCTCTGGATTTGAGCAAGCAGCTGAAATCAGTGGCCTGTAGCTATGCTGTGTTACTATCCCCTGTCATTTAGGAAAGCATTCTTGAGGTCATTCAGCATGCCCTGGTAACTTCCCAGAATAAACAAATGAGGGAAGAATTTGCATTTTTCACAAAAGATCTTATTTTTAGTGTTATATATGTAAATTTAAATGAAATGAAAGTACTCAGAGAAATTTTAAACCTGTTAATTTTTTTTTTTTGCCCTTTTCATTTTTCCTGTATTCCTCAGTCTATCTGTGGAAACTATATTCTCAGCTGTTTGTGACTGTCTTTTGAAAGGACAATATTTTTCAAAGAAAGGTCCGTAATGATTTTTAAAAACTGTAATGTTTCCAGGCAAAAGGTGCAAATATTACTCATCAGATGAGAGACTTCCTATTTACATTTATTGTTACTAATATAACATTCAATATGTGTCGAGAGGAAACTTGTTATTGTGTTGGATCAGACTCAAAGGAGGAAGTGTTTCCCTTTTGATTATTTTGTTCTTATCACACATATTTCACAACTTTGGTGGATGTGAGAGAACTTATTTGAATATCTGGGACTAAAAAAGTGCGTTTTGAACTCCTTCAGCTTTGCCTGCCTTTCTTGGACTAGTGAGCCCTGACTGTTTAGAATGAGTTTCTCTGTAAGAAGTGACCTCAGGCCCGGCTGGCTCAGTGCTGATCTGCAGTCTTGATGCAGTTGGTGGAATAAATGATTCAGAATGAACTCCTCTCCTTTCTCTAATGGCAATGACCCAGGGCTTGCACACAGCCCGGAGTCTGCCCTGTGGAAACTTTGGCTTCCTATATGCTGGTATAATTTGAGGTGAATACTGTAATTGAACAAACAAAATATAACCTATTCTTTTAAAGAAAACTGGACTGCAATTGTAAAATGGTTCATTTATATGAAAAAAAAAGTCAAGCATTACTTCAACTTCATTCTTTTTAAAATATTGCGAAAATATAAAAGAAATTATTTATTTTGACATACTTCAAATTTTTGTATTTGATTTTATAGTTGCTTGGGGCTGTTTTATTCACTTCCTGTTCTAAAGTGTCTGACACAGTGAGGAACAAAAGTAGTACTTACTGAATAAAGAGAAGAAAGAATGAATGAGTAAATGAATTGCTTGGGCTTTCAGAAACTCTAGCAAACATCTCAATAATATTCAGCAATACAGGGTGGGGCGAAAAGTAGGTTTACAGTTGTGAGTACACAAAACATAGTTTATTTTTGTATTATTATTAATTATTGTATGACTTTTCATATTAACAACTGTGAACCTATGTGTGCCCCACCTTGTATAGATATTTAAATATAGATATAAAATTTAATGTTGGATATCAGCTCTCTCAATATAAGTTCTGAGACACTGAGATATCCTGACCACTGTATCCTGAGCTAGAGATTTCATAGGTCCAATCCATCATATTTAGTTCCTGTCGTTAGTTTTCTAGTCTGAGGAAAACACACCCAGCAGCACATCTAAAAACAAATGGGCATTATCAGGGCATGGCTTTCCATTGAATCATTTCAGAAAGGAAATAGATGGGCAGCATACGCTTCCCAAATGGTTCTTCATGAGAAAATGGCTTCATCTTAATTTGATCAGTCAATATCTTAGCTTATATGCCTAAATTACAGGTTATATCCATTGAATGTGTTCTAAATTAACTGAACAGCTGACCCCAAAGAAGGGTTCTGCAAATAATGAAAATAACATTGGTTTTCAAAGTATTAGCAGCTCTGACAAGGAGGCAGGGCCATTTACTATCAACAGCTATATTAGCTCTTTGGGGCCTTGGGCCATATTGTTGCCTCTGAGCATTATTTTGTAATTCAGATCTTTATAGAACTATTTCCTAGAAAAACAAACACCCAGACACACTTTCTGTATTCTCATGTGTCACTGCATGCTGCCCACTGCAGTTGCTGCTTTGTTGAATTAAAGTTGTCTGCCTGTGCTGTTACAGGGAACAAGAGACCCACTGTTTTTGACGGGTGTCACTTTCCCATCTGAGTATCCCATCTATGAGGAGACCAAAATAAAACTCACAGTCTATGATGTCAAGGATAAGTCTCATGATACCGTAAGTACTTGTACTGCTTTCTTTCTTTGGGAAAGGGAGTTGTGTTTTTCCGAACTATTAGTTTTGTGTGTGTGTGTGTGAGAGTGTGTATGTGTGTGTGTGTGTGTGTGTGTGTGTGTGTGTGTGTGTGTGGTTTTCCTTTTTTAATGTAATTGGCATTTTTTTCAAATATGGTGTTTGTATTGTGTTGATGCTTGTTTTATGTTTATAGTTTGCTAGGATTTTTTTTTCTCCAAATTCATTTGGCTTAACACCAAATTGGCAATTGGGTAAGAGCAAAAGCTTCCAGAACAGATTTTTCTCTTTTTCAGGGAGACTGGCTTGATCTCTTGGTTTATAATTTTGTTATTGTTGTTTTAAGAAGTTGCTGAAGGTATAGTACTGTGGGTAGAATGCTAGTGGAAGAAATGAAATAATGGCTTAAAACTGTCTTGATATTGTAATTACTCTAAAACGGACTGACAAAGTGTTCTACTTTTGCAATTTATTCTTGTACATAATGTATAGAGAGACATTCTCTCTGTAGTTCCTGAAGTTATTTCTGGCACCGAAGCAAACAGAGAAAGCAAGGCAAGCACTCGACAGAAGCTTTAATTGTCCTCTTTCCATGAAAGTCATATAAAGTCCCAATGATTATTTTGTCCTAGATTTCGTCAGTCTTCCTACCTGGTCTGACTTTTCCTCCACTTGAACCAGACCTCCTGGGTAGACAGTGAAGTGCCCAGGCAATATTTCTAGAGGCCTTTCTTAAAATTTCTGGACAGGAGAGAATGCTATTGTAGGCATTGATTGATAAGGGGAAATTTAAAATATGAGCCTTTTCCTTTAAGTCTCTCCCTTTAGCATGCATTTTAGTCTGTTTTCAAGGCAGGGGTCTTGATGGTCAACAGTGAAGCACAAAACAGGAGACACTTTGAAAGGTGGGTCAGTGGGTTCCATGGGATTCTGGATGAAGTCCAGGGATGCTGCTGGACCTGGGGAACCACACAGCCCCTGGTCCAGGGGAAACAACTTTAAACTCTGCCTTCACTTAGGCATTTCTGTCTTGCTCCTCTTTTCTTTCCATTCTTTACCATAAAATATATAGCATAGATGGATGGTGGGGGTATTTAATAGAGACAAAATTCTACACTGAAGCAATTTCTACTTATGTTGGTCCCAGAAAAGTTCATTTCTTTAAAGTTGCAGCAAAAATGTCCAATTAAATGCACAGCATGTATGTGGAATAGAAATAGTGGTGGTCTGGTATGTCTATTATGAGGGCTGACTATCTGGCTCCTGTTATGTTTACCAGGTTTGTGACGCTGGGAGAGTTCATTCTCAGTGCCTCTGTTTGTTCATTTATAATATTTACCTTGTGAGGTTGTTGTAAGGGTTAAATAGGTTCATATAGGTAAATTATTTAGAAGACTGTTACAGGTTAATTAATAAGTTTAAGTTGCTGCTTTTATCGCTGTTATTGTTCTGGCTACTGCCTCATAATCCCTCATAAATAGTAAAACTCAAATAAAGGAATATTATCTAAAATCTGTTTTTTATAGTATTTTTTTTTTTCTTTAGTGGCATTATATTATTTCTGACTTCCTTAAAGAAGAGGGGAAAGACAAAAGTACTCTGCAACACAAAATTAGGGTTAAACTGGCAATTAAAAATGTTTTCTTTGGCATTTTATTTTTTATTTCTATTTTTTTTTTTTTTACTTTTGAGGCCACCTGTGGAAAAGGAAAGGACTGATCTAGACCAGGTTTGATAGACTGCACAAGGCCATGTGCAGATCCATGGCTGTCCCTTTTTTATTTTTGCCTTCTGCCAGAGAACAGAGAAATGAAGGGACTGGGGAAAAATCACAAAGTTGGTAAGGAGAGAGAGATGGTTCACATGGGTAGCAGGAGGAGGTGATATCACTGAGCAGAGGAGTAATAGGCAGAGAAATGATCAGGATGAGAGGGAAAGCAAAGCAGTAACCATGTGGTTTTATGTTCTTCCAAGCACATGATCAGATTCAACCTTCCCTACAGACCGGAGGCGCAGACAGGATTGAAGCTATGGAAGGGACAGGGGTATAGAAACGCTCTGCTACAGGAATGAAAATGTTGCCCCTAAACTCTTGGGCTTGATAAGTTTTCGGAAATATCAGCTTTAGAAATATTAAACACCAAAGGTGTTTCTATCTCCTTCAATCTTCCTCATTTACAGTGTGCAGTATGTTACTGCTTTAGGGATAAATAATTAGCTTACTCATTAATTATGTTCTGAATTGCCTTCTATTTCTGGAAACGAATTCTTTAGGGTCTTTTAGAGACTTTCTTCCTTGATCAGAGGTATTATCACATAAGAGTAGTGGATGAACTGGAATCCCTGCTGGGAAATAAGACTTGTGAAACTTGAACATGCTTGAGAAATGCAGCCAGCTTTCACTTACCAAGTGCTGTTAATTAAGGCATAGCCTCTTCCTTAAAATAACTAACAATTAGCTCTGGTGATGGAAGTGTAAATAGGAACACAGTTCATGAATTTGCTAATAGTCCCCATGGACCTAGACTTTTCATCCTGGCCTTTTTCTTTCATTTCTGAAGTTTTTCTTAGAGGTGGGAATGGGGGGGGGGGGGGGGAGGAGGAGGAGGCAGGAAGTGTGTTTAAAGTACAGTTTATGATTATGAACACTTAATAACCTAAGTATTTTAATATCATAATACTCTTAAGGCTTAAGAAGTGAGATTATGCATATTTATGTGTTTTGGGAAATTAATGAGTTGTGTGCATGTATTTAAAAGTAGCTTTAATATTTGCTCCTAGTAACCATTGATCATATTAGGCTAACCCAGGACAATGAAGTCTATTTATTGGCTGAGTTCTAGTTAGTTGTGTCTGGTGATTGAGTTGCTTTTATTTCCCTCTTGAGTTTATGGTTATTTGGAGTTAAGCAGTCAAATAAATTTGTTACTTTGTCATTTCATATTCATTTACAGAAGTATTCATATATCTTCTTAAAGAAAAAAAATGATAAGTTGTCATCTGTGCCTTCAATGCAGCCATTATCAAACTAGTTGTTGTTCTTGTACTCCTCTACACAACTGGACCTGAGATTGATTATTTTACTAAGGTTAGTAGAAATGCAATTAATCATTGTAACAAATGAGATGGGTTTAACTGTTGAATCAGAATGGCTATTGTTTCCTCCTACTCCATCTTTCAGCCTCCCCATTCATTGCAGTATGGGGAGGTGAAATACGGGGGTGCTAGGGTCATTATGAGAATTAGAGTGGCTTATTATTTCCCTCACCAGGAGGAAATTATCTGTTTTCTAAAAATGGGCTAATCAAACATCCAGCCATTTGGTGGGGACTTTAAAGCTTGACATTACAGCCCGGTGATAGAATATGAGAGCCCCCGTTCTCAAGGTGAAGTCGATGCCTGCTGGATACATGCCGGTTGTATGCTCTATTTTAAAGCTCCTGGAAACTGAAACAGCACAGGCAGGAGTGTTTTCAGCCCATCATTTACAGTGCTCAGCCCTAGGGACTCAAGTGGGTCTTTCATAAGTTACAGAAAAAATCTCAGAGGAAGGAGAAGTTCTTAGAGGAAAAGAACATCACCATCAAAGTTTGTCTCTTTTCCCCTTCTTGCCATGCAGTGATATTTTGGAAGGTAGTGAGCAGGGCTGTTACAACACCCAGGTTAGCACAGCCATCGATCTGCAAAGCATGATTAGGTTACAGACTCGTTTTGCCTATGGTAGAAATGGGAATTTCTCATGTATTCTGCAGGAGTGCACATTGCTCCATTTCTTTTGCTGTTGGGGTGAATCTATCTCCAACTTGTTAGATGTTCAGCTTATAGGACAGAGTTCCATGTCCAGTAGACACGGAACATTTCTCAGGGGAGGATATATGTCCTAAGACACTTTTTACTATCATTTACTAGCATACTGCCCCCCCCCCCCCCAAATCTGGTCACTCATCAAGATTGGATGTAAATTTATTGCATTGTGTGTTCTATGCCCAAAGCAATTCTAGTACAAGTCTTTACACAGAAGTGTCCAGTTCACTTTTATGGAAAATAAAATCATTTACATTTAGTACACTTTGACTTGGCTTGATTTTCTACATTGACTTCTTACCACTTTAAGACTGCTGAAATGCAGATTCTGTGAGCTCGCTGGCCTTCTTCTCTACCTAGAATATATGATACATTGGGTAAGGAAAATGAAGTTGAGATTACCAATTAATAGGTACATACAAAGGACTCTGTTTAATAGGTTATGTATACTTTCTTCTTTAGTCTCCATAAAAATTCTTTGAGGGAAGTATCATGTTGCCCTTTAAAGAGAAGAAATTGGGATTCTGAAAATTTCAGTAGGCAAGTCAAAGACCTTTATTTTTTCCAGGCTGTGCTGTGATACATATATTGTTTATAGGATTTCCCCCATTTTCACTCCAATAGTATGGGATTTTCATTTCAACTGACACTTTTAAAGCATTCTTGATTTATAGCTTAAATACTGATTAAGTGAAAAAAAGTCAGTGTTCAACTATAGGAAAAACACTCATGTCCAAAATTCTGAAGCACTGTTATTAAGCATGTAACTAATTGCTGATATCTGAATAAATTTTATAATGAAGGGGACATCGACTGTTCATGAAAAATAGTTGTTGTCACCTGTTATGAAATGGCTAAGTTGAGGTCTTAAACTTTTGTTTTTGCGCCCCCTGACCTTGTTTCTTCCTTTTCTTTTATGTGTACTTCGTGGTCCTCTCAACCTATTCATTCACTCAGCCTTTGCCTGTTCGAGTGCTCCTGTCCGTATGGTGACCCAGTCTGCAAGGGGAGTTACGATTTCATTTAGAAGTGGTTCAGGGTTCTAAAACGTTGCTGCCCTTCCTAAATAACTTCACTTTGAGAACAAAGTGACAAGTAGTTGACAAGTAGTATATATTTACTGAGAGCATATTTATATTTTATTGAGGTATAATTTACATACGCTAAAACAGACAGCTCTT